TATATATACTTTTGTATAGCTTTGGAAATATTGTTGCTATACATTCATGCCAATAAAGCTAATTTGAATTTGAAATTGAACTATCCCGCTCAAAATGGTGTAAAAGAGAATCCATCCTCCTTAAAAGGTCTGTTTTGTGATTTTTTAAAAATCTGAATACACACTTTTTGTGTTTTAATAGTATTACCCACATCTCTCTCTCTGTGTTAAGTCTCTCTTTTAGAATTGATAGCTATCAGTTCAGATTACTTGGTGATTTATTAACATGGCAAGAAGATTCCACACATGCCAAATGCAACAGAATTAATAGCACTGATGGTAGAAACAATACTAATCCAATCCATTTGTAAGATAAGGTTCTTCATTCAGTACATTTTACCTTGGTAATGAATCAGTGTCTGTGTCAGTCCCCATCTGACGTCAAAACCTGGCGTCTTCTAGTTTCCAGCTCTGATCTGATTATTTGTCTGGTTTCTGTCTACTGAGAACCTTTGTGGGATGTCCCTTGCTGTCAGTGCAGATTTGTACTTTAGGGGAAGTATGGTTCAACCCTTTAGATGTCTTAAGACACTGGTTGGTCTGAAAATATCCTGTTTGATGCACAATGTCCAATATTTGTCGTTAAACTAAATAAATAATACAGCCAAACTTAAACAAGCACATAACTGAGCAATTGATCTGTTTCTGTTTTTTCAGTGTATGTGCTACATGATTAAGAATGACTGATTGATTTAATTTTCAATGTCAATCTGTCACACATTGTAGCTGGATAATAATTTTCACTATATAGACAAAAAAAGAGTAGCTAAACATTTGGAGTGTGATCTGTATAGTCTTTAACTTGTGGGTGTGACAGAGTAAACAGACTTTCCTTCTGTCTGTTAGCTCAGTGCTCTGATGTGTACCAGCCTTAAAGCTGCATTAATCAATATTTTAGTACATTGGATCAAATCACTATGTGTAATGGGACAGGCATCACTATACTGATAAAATCACAGATGTGACACTCAACTTTGCAGTTGCTTTGTTCTATAGGTTTTAGTATCTTTCAGGTCATTTTGTTGGCTTTATGGCTCTCAGCTTTCTAACACCAAACAACACACAAACAAAATGAGCAACAATGTCTGGTAAACATTTGGACCATGTAGAAGCTCAACAGTCTTTTCCCTTAGGATGTAATGGAGATTAAAACTGACAAAATATTGGACACCAGGTGGCCAGACACACATCTACAACTAAATGTCTAGACAACATTTTAGTCTTTACAACTTTATTCGATGGAAATGGATGGATGTAGCTATATTGTGTTTTCAGTTTGTTTCAGGCATTTTAAAATGTGCTACAGGAAATAAAGATTAAAATCAACTTTTTCTCTATATAGGTATACTGCGTTTTCAGGACATCAGGAACAACATATCCCAGAGTGCTTCAGACTGTGCAAAAGTCCCTACGCACCTGGGTGTGGCCCACTCACGCGAGCAACGGAGAGTATTTCCCAGTGGGCTGCGCCCATCCGTCCTTCTTCTCTTCTCCTCTCCTACTACCGGGATCTGCTCACCGATCTTCATCTGACTGCTGCATCTCCGCGGTAAGTTGCTCCCATCACCGGAACACTTTCAGATTATCGGCGTAACGTCCAGATAAAAGTTCAGCAGCATCAGCCAGGTGAGCGGGGACTGCCGGGGTCTACCTGTGGACAAAAGGTCAAGTCTGGTCTACGCAAGTTTGACAGCTACACCGCTATAGCTAGACAGGAGAGTAGATCAAGACAGGCACCGGATATAAACTAGAAAGAACAAGATAATTCCAGATGAAAACACATGTGGTCATCAGAAAGAGTTTGGTATTTGTCATATTTCGTTGTTAAATAACTGTTTCTGTCCTCAACAGACTTTCTTCTTACCGCCGAACAAACCTCCAAAACCTGTCAAAATGGTGAGTCATTTTTATTTCACAGATGTTTCAGCTGTTGACCTAAAGAAACATGGCGATTAAATGATTCAATTATCCATTTGCAAAAATCCGTTGTTTATGATTATTATTAAATTACTCTTTATGACAACACCCACTTTTCCCTCCACACTATTGAAGGATTGTAAATAAATGTTGGTTGGAATTCGCAAAATGTGAATATTGTTGTTGATAGTACTTGAGATAACCTTTCAGTTGAAATTATAGGCTACACGAAAGCCTGTTATCTTCAGTAAATGTAGAAGATATGGTAGTACGCAAAGACGTTTCATTTGGGGAAGTTAGGAAGTTTACTGTATGACTCATTTTGGCTCTAGGCCAGTCAGTGGGTCTCTCCACCTCTCTCTGTCTCTCTCTCTGTTTAATACACCCATTTCCACGTTTAGCCTGGGATTGAAAGCCACCCTCCCTCTCTTAAAGGGGAATCAGTACTCTTTGTCAGGGTGGAGTTGTATAGTTACCATTAATTATTTTATGATTATATTAATGGTAATCAGTTTAATCTGGGGCTGTATATCGGTCCTCTCCTTAGCAAATTCAGCGAAAAGATTAAAACCATTCCTCATTGCAATTGACTTTAATTGATGTCAATGTCAGTGTTGCTGCATGAGCTGCTGTCCCTATACCTCGCGCTCCTTTTGAATAATAAAGCAAAACAGACACATAATAAAAAAAAACTGCTATGTTGTGGGGTTATTTATGGGTGCTGATTTCTGTGCTCTGCTCTCTGTGTTTCATCAAGGGTGGGGCTCAGCTCCTCCTACACACACACACACACACACACACACACACACACACACACACACACACACACACACACACATTAATATGAAGAAAGTCTGCACTATATAACAGCTCATCCCTTCAACTAACTCTCAAAAGTGCCAGCATTTCAGCAGATGCTAGATGCAAGCTCGATGAAGACTTTGTGACTTTTTAAGCTGAGTCAGATATGCTGTTGGAAAGGAAAAAGCAAAATCCGGTCAAGCTTTGTAAACAATGAGCAGCGTTTTCTATGTGAGAGTAGCCTCCGTCAGACTCACTTGCGTATAACTGTGTGTTCAAACAGCATATGGAGGCTGTCCTACAGAAGATCCATGGGAAGAAATTGTGAGCTGTTAAGTAATAACCTATTTAACAGGGCACAATTCCCACTACAAATATTTACAAAATGCATTATGAATTGACCCACAATAAATAGTATTTTAATATCCAACTGTTGCAGTATGTTTATTTTGAATTTTCCCCATAAATAACTGCACATACATTTGAATATTGCTATATGTATATTTGCAAAAGTTCAAATTCATTATTGATTTCATGATCAAATCATGTTTGACCTTGCTCCATAGAACACAACTAGGACTTGCTAGAACACTTGCGATAGGGGCTAAACCTGTGTCTAACGTTCCAGTGGAAATCATCTGCATTGTATTTCAAATTGTTCAATTATTCAATCTCCTTGTTCAGCTGTTTGTCCAAGTAGCCATCTGCATGCTGATTTTGTTTAGCTTGTGGTGCTGAGTGTGTTTATGTAAAAGGAGAGCTCGTGGACATTTTGGCATTCCTTCCTGCAGAAAAAGACAGAATCCTGGTTGTTAACAGCAAATTGTTTTTGGGCATCCCACTTTTTTTTTTCTTCAGATTTTCAGGATCAGAATTCCAGAGACATTACTGCGGTTTTCTTCTCAAAACATCTCTCCCCCTGAAACATGTCACAGTTTTAGGAAGTGCCTGGAATGACTGCAGCATTGTTAAAGAAATCAGCACTTTAACTAAATATCTTAAAGTCAATATTTATTGCATTCTTACTATGTTCAGTGTGAATCTGTCTGCTGTTCTGAAATTTACATTCATTCCACATTCAGGGAAATTATTAGCCTGGTAACCAGACTGCATTGCCATTTTGTTTCACTTCATCCATTATATTTGATCTCTGAACAAATCTGAGATAATAATAATAATTCTATTTGCTATAAAAATGCTGTACAGTAAAACAAACATGATCCATACTTAAAAAATATAAATTTAAGTAATACAATAACAGCAATAATATAATGTTTATAAAAACACTATACGATAAAAGTGAGACTTAAGAAGAGATTTAAAAGAGGTCACTGAGTTTGCTTGCCATCTCCAGGGAGTTCCACAGTTGAGGGGCCCAAATAGCAAATGCCCGGTCCCCTTTAGTGACAAGACGACACTTTGGAGCCATTAGTTGAGCCCTGCTGGAGGATCTTGGTTATCGGTCCGCCTCGTAAGGAGTTATCAAATCACAGATATAGGCAGGAGCCTGACCGTTCAGGGCTTTAAAAACAAGTAGTAAAATCTACATCTAAACTCACAGCTAACCGGTGAAGGGCAGCAAGGATTGGTGTGACGTAGTAACTCCTCTTAGTGCAAGTTAGAAGCCTGGCTGCAGCATTTGAAATGAGCTGTAGTGTATGGATGTTTCCCATACTAATACCAGAAAACAGAGCATTGCAGTAGTCGAGTCTTGAGTAAATTAAGGTATGTACCTTCTCTAAGTCATCAGAGGAGAGAGATGTTCTAATCTTTCCTAGCTGTCTCAACTGGACTAAAGAGGACTGCACCCCTTTGGTCACCTGAGCATCAAAAGACAACTTTGAGTCGAAAATGACACCAATGTTGCATGCTTCTTTCTGAATGTTATCTGAGAGCACACCCAGCCTAGTGGTGAGATTATTAAGGTAGCTAGTGCTGGGTCAGACGGGAGTAAATACAATTATTTTGAAATTGTGTCGTTTAACTGAAGAAAGTTATTAGACATCCAGGATTTTATCTCAGCGAGGCAAGAGAGAGTACAAGAAACATCGCTAATATCTGATAAGAAGTTATAAATATAGCAGAAAGATTACAAAGTACAGTTAGAACATTTATTCAACATTTTTTAGTATTTAGACATTCATCAGAGCGTCTGAATTTGGGAGATGTGTCCCTAGGGATTTCGGCTACCCACATAACTTGAAAAAAATCTACACCTTAATAATCATACGTCCATTTCTTCCATGTTACAGGCCAGCAGAGGATCTGTGAAAGCCAGTGGAAACTTCAATGCCAATGCAGATGCTGAGGTCCTACACAAGGCCATGAAAGGGCTGGGTAAGGATGCTTGTGTACATGCACAGCACTGATACGTTGAAGGCCTGTCAGTCAATAGTACAACTCCAATAGACCAATGAGATCGATTTTTTTTTTTTTTTTGGGAGTTCCTCTCTGAATAATTACTGTTGGGAGCTCCACCCGGACAGCAGTGAGTCAAAAACACATGAGTTGAAACTTGAGTCACTGTCTGATGGCAGTAATTATGTGGGTGAAATAAGTTCACTAGCATGTTTATTGTTATGTAATATGTATAGCTTGTGAGAATAGTTATACACAAACACTTGTTGCTTGGGTGACTAACAATGGTGCTTGTTTGCCATAGGGACTGACGAGGCTGCCATCTTGCAGCTGCTGACTGCTCGCAGCAACCCCCAGAGGCAGCAGATCAAGGCCGCCTACAAAACTCTGTTTGGAAAGGTTGGACTTCCTTTACAGCAGTTAAACTACGTGACACCATACATTACAACTTAAAAAGACCTCAGTATGCTTCACACAAACTACTGTGCTACTTGTTGTTCAACCACATTTAAAGGCATAGTAGTATTAGTAGTCAGATTGTGATTATTGTAGGGCATCAGTAAGATTAGGTACGGACATTTAATCTAGTCTGTACACTCTCAACAAAGTAAATAATACAGAATAAAAATGATCAGTTAAACTGCAAAAATAATAATAATAATCCTGTTATTAAATGGTTAGCATTTACAACATTATTAGCTAAAGCCTCCTTTTAGTAGGCAACACTAAACTGGACTTAACCCTAGCAGCATGCCTACTTAGTTTGAGATTGTAGGAAATACACTTATTTTACACTCTCTTCTTCCAAAGAGTTAGATGAGAAGATGTCTGCATGGTAAATATGAAGCCACAGCCAGCTGCTGTTTAGCTTGGCTTAGCATAAAAATATTTTTGCGGACTGAACTGGGGAAACAGTTAGCCTGGCTCTGTCCAAAAGTACAGTGAACTTTAAAGGTGCTGGTAGGTCGATTTTGCTACATTAGGACAGAGCCAGGCTAGCTCATTCACCTATTTTCAGTCTTTATGCTAAGCTCGGCAAACTGGCTGCTGGCTCCAGGTTGATATTTGTACAGACACAAGGGTGGTATTGATCTTCTCATGTATCTCTTGGCAAGAAAGCAAATAAACACATTTCCCAAAAGGTTACAATACTACACAAACTGCCACTGTACAGGCAATAATTACCTCCCAACATGGTTAGCTGTTGCTTATTTAGCCATTTGAACAGGGGCCCTTTAAAACGTTTCAGAATATTTGGGCAGTCTCTCCTCAAGAACACCTAAAAATTCTGAAGAGAGCTTGAGAGAAGAGTTTAAAACCTGCCTACTTTCACACCTCCGCACATCTGGCCAGTTCCTGCATATAACGGCCGATTGTCGAACTAGTCCAGAACTAATTAAAATACATAATGTATCTTCATGTCAGGATCTGATACATGACCTGAAGGGAGAGCTGGGTGGCAAATTTGAAACCTTGATCGAGGCTCTGATGACCACACCCATCGCTTATGATGTGACATCCCTCCACCACGCCATCAAGGTAGGTGCTGCAGTGACCAGATATAAGACCGTTAAAGACTCTTGTATAACTGTAGATGGAAAGTTTCTGAAAAGAGTTTTAGCAGTCAGAGCAGCTTGAAAGGCAAATGTTGTTTCATTAGATGTTTCCCTCTTTGACCTGTAGGGGGCAGGAACAGAAGAGAAGGTCCTGGTGGAGATCCTCGCCTCAAGAACACCTCAGCAGGTGAAGGACATCGTCGCTGCTTATAAACAAGGTAATACACAAGCGAACACACACACACACTAAAACTGTATGATAAACACACATCAATCACTTTATGTTTAAATAGACTGTAATATAGTTTTATTTGTTATTCTGCTGTAATTAGTGCAACAATAATGAACTGTTCTATAGTATTATTTTGAGTGTTTATTAATTACTTACAGATGTGTCCTGAATGTGGACAAACATTTAATTGCCATAAAAGTCTGACAAAAAACTGGGAATACTTTTTCACGATCCAAGCTAAAATAAAACGGCATGTGTGTTTTGTGTCTATCTCAGAGTACGATCACGACCTGGAGAAGGACATATGTGGTGACACTTCAGGTCACTTCCAGAATCTTCTGGTTATTCTGCTGCAGGTATATCTCCTCATTTCCTCTCCTGTATTCTTGTATTCTCTCCTCTCAATCCTTGTTTCTTCCCCTCTGTTCTCTCCTGTATCCTCATCCTCTCTCCTCCTGTATTCTTGACTCCTTTCCTCTCAATCTGTGTCTTCTCTCCTCTGTTCTCTACAGTATTCTGGTCTCTAGTCCTCTCCTGTATCCTTGGGTGCTTCTCAAGTCTCTTAATTGCATCTATGTTTCCCTCACTTGTCTCTTTTCCTTGCATCTTAGTCCTGAGAGATGCAAGGAAACCAAGCCAGGAGGGAAGGAACAAGTAAATATGTTTGTAGAAACATGAGACATCCTTTCCTCCGAAGCATCACGTGAAGCGACGTCAATTTCTGATGACGGCGGTAGCTGATCACAGCTGGATCAGCTGTCAGTCGGCTTTAACAGCTGTAGAGACTTTTGATGGCATTTGTGTCTGCACACATGTTCACTGTGTTGGTACTAATAAAGTCTCACAGTTATCAGATCATGATTTTTATTTTATTTTAGTGCAGCAGTGCTTTCAGTCACACTTGTATCAGCTGATTTTATTCTGAGCTGGCTGCTTTCATCAGATGCAGTAGGTGAGATGGCTGGATGTGCTGGCTTTATTTTCCTTTGCTTGCTTCATTAGCGACTTTAGTGCAGTTTAGTGACTTGTCTGACTCCTTATGTGTTTACTATGTTGTTGTTTATTTGTACTAATCAAAGGAATGATCAGCCTCGCATGTGACTGAATAGAAATAACTATAATAATAATTATGTAAAACCTGTTTCTTGCTGACAGACTCTCCGACTCTCTCTTACTTTAATTGTCTCCATTGTAAAAGAAAAATCTTTCTAATAAATTAAGAAAGTTGTGTTTGGGTCTTTTGTTGTTCAGACCTACAATGAACTCAGATTTTAACAAGACATAAAACTAATCAAATACAAGACTTTGCAGTGATGCACTTGAGTTTAATGTTATTTGTCCTGATGTATAAGATCATTCCAATCATCTGCAGCGTCCAATCAGTATAACGGCTACCCAATAAGAGGGTGTGTCGGTCAGTAAAAGAATTCAGCAAATGATGCACTGGTGTATCCTCGCTCATAGCTCCTCAGAGATCGCTCCTTGGAGCGCAAATAAGAACTTTGATGGTCTGCAAGAAGGCAGAGCCGAACAACTTCCAGTTCAAGCAAGGAGCGAGTAGCAAGGAAATGACAAATAAGAGACTTGAGAAGCACCCCTTTTCTCCTCTTCTCCTGTATTCTTTTCTCCTCTCCTTTCAATACTCGTTTCCTCTCCCCCTCTTTCTTAAGTATCCTTGTCTCCTCACCTCTCAGTCAGCGTTTCCTCTCCACTCTTCTCCTCTAGCCTTGTCTCTTCTCCTCCTAATCCTTGCTTTATCTTCTCTTCTCTCCTCGCTAACATAGATGTGTTGTCTCTCCCCAGGCAAGCAGGCAGACGGGGATCCAGCAGGAGAATATCCAGAGTGATGCTGAGGTGAGTCGTTGGTCGCTGATCGGTAAATAACTCTTCTTTTCACCATCAGTGGTGTCTTTGTCTCCTTGTCTGAAGGTGTGACTGTGTGTGTGGATAGGATCTCGACTTATGTTGCTGTTGGGGATTAGGGTTTAAATTGCATCAGTATTTATATTAAATAGTATAATAATTATTATGATTATTGAATAACTGATAATATAATATAACTTAATGTTCTATTTACCTTGGGGCACCACTCTTAAACAAGAGAAAACTGATCAATCTGATAATCAAGTTTCATGAAGATATACTAAACTATAAATGTGGAATTCTGTTTAATAAATAAATGAATAACTATAACAAACTTACCATTAACAGATAGTGGGTTGAACAATTTGGACTTTTATGCAAAGGAGGTTGGCAATATATTAATTTTTATGCAACATTAAAAGAAACCAGCATGTATATACACAAGTATTTATTTAAAAAGATAAACAAAGCAAAAACACCAAATGAAACCAACTAAAATGCACTAAACTGGAGACAAAGTCTGCCCATGTGTGTCGTGTGCACGAGAATGAGCACATGTTTTCAGACAAAGAAAGCATGTGCAGCCGGAAGTTCAAGTTCACACCTTAGTGTGACTTTCTGGAGGATTCCTGGGAAACTCAGTTTAATGACTCACATGACAAAAGTTCAGTTATGATCACATATGAACATCTTCATCTGTGAGGTCCCTGTCATCCCAAGTTCGCCCTCTAGTGCAGTGAGTGAGTAACAATTGCCTTAAAATGTCTTGGTTAAATTTTAAATACATAAATAAAAAAAAAGGCAGAAACATACTGTGGGATGGGTTAACTATGTTCCTGTAATTCTTGCTGCTGCTTTGCTGAAAACATATTCTGATCTAGCATCTGTATGAACATTATCTACAGTACTGAGGATACTTTGCTTTAGCTTATTTAGTTGGAGTTTCTGTCAATATTTTTTTCATACTTTTTTTTCTTGTGAATTACTGGAACAGTTGACGTCTTTAGGCGTCAAAAAATTATTTATAAAACAAGTGAAATGATCTTTGGTTCTTGGTCTTTAGTTGAACTGAACTGGTCTAGACCTGTAGACATATGCCATCAGGGAGAAAGTTGTATAGTGATCTCTGTGACCAGTAAGTAGTTGAAGAAGTAATTAATATATTACATCTTTTTCTTGATTGAAAATACTGAGTTATAAGAAAATGTTTTGCATTCAAAATAAAGTAAAAGTACAACTAAGATTAGCACCTAAACGTGATACCTAAAGTATCAAAAGGTATATGATTTATTGTGCAGAAAGGCCTTTTTGAGATGGATGGATGGATGTATGTATGTATGTATGTATGTATGTATCTAGTATTACTGATTCATTATACATAAGGTAAAACTAGTTTTAATTATTTTATATAGGGATGGGTATTTTTATCGATAACAATATATCACATTTTATAGGTTGATAATATGTTTTAAAATAACAAATCTCCAAAGTAAATAGTAACAACAACATTGTCATAAATGTAGTACTGTTAAAAGTAAAAATTACAATATTTCCATCTGAAATGGAGTGGAGTAGAAGTATTAAGTAGCATAAAAGGAAAATTGTACTTACTACCACTGACTTGTAAATTGATTTTGTTGTGAAATTGGTGGAGTGCCCCTTTAGATTCTAGTTTGTTATTCCCTCTAAGCACAGACGGACACAAGTGGTTTTCTTGCTACTGTTTTCTTGAAGTTCAGACGAACACAAATAATACCTTGTTGGTTGCATGCTACAAAGAACGGGAAGTCTTTAAGTCTTCAGAGGTAAACTTTAAGGTTCAGTGTGTAATATTTCTGAGGATCTATGGATAGAAATGCAATATAAGATCCATAACTATGTTTTCAGTGGTGTGTAAAGACTTTACATAATAAACCATTATGTTTTTATTACCTTAGAATGAGCCATTTATATCTACATAACTGCAGGCACCCCCTTCCATGGACGTTGCATCGTCATGTTTCTTCAGTAGCTGAAAACAGACAAACACCGCTACAGAGCGCGTTTCATCACTACATTTTTCTTGTTCTACTTATGGTGGAATTCAGCCAGTGCAGACACTTATCACTATGTTGAATACGTATGTTAGAAGAAGAAGACGTAGTAATAATGTATTGCAGGGGTCGGCAAATAAGTTTTGCATCAGAGCAATATTTCTTATATAACAAGATTGAGTTCTGTCAACATGTTGGGCAGTTTGCTCAGTTGGTAAGGTGCTGGACTTGCAACCCAAGGGTTGAGGGTTCAATCCCGCCTTAAGGTGACTTTTTCTTCTCTCTTTAACAAATGGATTCTGCAGCGAATGTTTGTCAGATCATGGCATGTGCTGCACTGTTTTTGTTACAATGTTTGATCCTAAACCATCAACCTTTTAATTTCCCCAGTATCTCCAGGACATTTAGGGGAATCACATTGTCTGACAGCTCTTTCAGAGGTGTGTCAAGCAGGCTACAGACTCTTTTAATGTCCTTTAGAATTTCCCAAAGTAAAAGCACAGTTTCAACTCCAATACTGAATTACAGTAAACAAGCTTCTCGCGCTTTTATTTTGTAGGCAAAACCACTAAAGAGGAAGTGAATATGTGACTATGTTGCCAAGACTGAGATCTATTTCAGCACCGCCATCAAAGTATTTATTTATTTATTTATATTTTTTGCCGCTATTAAAGCACCTTAATCTGTCCGCGGGCCAGATATTGGGCCGGTGATGGGGCAGTGGATAAGACGCATGCCTTTGGTGTGAGAGACCTGGGTTCAACTACCCACTGTGACACATCCACCATTGTGCCCCTGAGCAAGACACTTAACCCCTAGTTTCGCCAGAGGCATGTGACCTCTGACATAATTAGCAATCGTAAGTGGCTTTGGATGAAGACGTCAGATAAATGTAAAATATATTATTGCTGGAGGGCAGTTTTGGCACTCTTCGCTTACATTTTCCATGTTATCTGTCAGTGGCCAAGTCACAATAACATATGGTTTAACTGAATAATTAAGTAAATATAATTTCTTAATAAATATACCTAAAGAAACCTAATTTCTTGACTGGGCACTCCCTGCTGTCTCAGATGGGACACCTTTTGTGCAGAGTCAGCCACCATAGCTATCCTGCGGTCTTTGAAAGGTTAGGGGGCAGTGGCAGACTGGACAGATGGTTGCAATTCACAACCCTCGCCACTAGATGCCACTAAATCTTACACATTGAACCTTTAAAACCGCTCACATCAAGGTTTGCTTTAGCCAGCATGAAATATTTCACTGGAACACACACGTGTCCATTCTCTTTGCTGCCTGTCGGTGTTTAGTACAGTACAACTCACGCGAAAGCAGCCCAACGAGACTTGCAAGTGACTTCAAAATAAAAGCATAAATAACAAATGCAAATTAAACAGAAAAGGTCAATTATACAAATTCCAAAAATTTTATTGCAACAATTACATAGTATCTTTGCTTTCCTGATTTTGAGGGACAAACAATGTGTGATGTGTACCATTTGTTTCTGCGGTCGTAGGCCCTCTTCAAGGCAGGAGAGCAGAAGTACGGCACTGATGAAGAATCATTTATCACCATCCTGGGAAACCGCAGTGCAGAACATCTCAGGAAAGGTTTGTCTGTGGGTCTGACAGTTGAGGATTACACCAAGAATAAGAGCGCTGCTGTAATTATTTTGCAGATACACACAATTGCCAGACTAATTCTGAAACTGTGTTTCAGTATTTGACGCTTACATGAAGTTGTCAGGATATGAGATCGAGGAGAGCATCAAGAGGGAAACATCCGGAAGCTTGAGAGATCTGCTTCTCGCTGTCGGTACGAAACTACACAGCTCCATACTGCAGACTTGTTCTATTGTCAGCTTCTTGAGAGATGGTGACTTTGACACCAAAGTTCTTATAGCCAAGTCATGCCACTCAGTCGCCATCTTGACAATGCCTCCGAGTAGCTATTTTGTTTCTAATAAGACCAGGCACCTATCTAAATCAATGGGGAGAGAGCCAGAACTGCACTTATACAGGTCATCAGGACATAAAAACTACATCAATAGAATCAGCATTAAAATCTGATAAAAATCGCTGAAAAAGTTTGAAAACTTTGCCTCAGAATAAGGTTCAAAAAGAGTTTTCCCCTTCTACTACGCATGCGCAGTAGAAGTAAAACAGACCCTTACGTCAGTGGAACCACACGATTGGCTGAAATATGTTTCCCGCTTTGGCTGTTAAAAGCAGACAAGTGGCTTTCTAGCAGGAGGGGCGGGATAACCATCTTTGCCGTTACGGGCTTTGCCACATAGAGTTAGATTGAGGATGTGATTGAGTGGCGTGTCTCCTCTAAAATGTCTCTGCTAACACTGACACATTTTCAATCTTTCCCTGTGTTTTCTCGTTTTCTTTTTAAAGTGCAATGTGCAAGGAGCATTCCAGGCTATTTTGCTGAGACTCTGTACTATGCGATGAAGGTAAGACTATAAAAAATATGAGATGGACAGCCACATCAGTGTTCTGTTTAACTACTGTAAAATCTGGTGTAATATCCCATTATAATGCCAGTTAAATTAATGGATAAATCCAGTGAATGAATATAAAAGACATTGCTGCTAAAAAAAAGACTCAACCTACATTATTATTGAGTTTTTAAAACTTAAAATTTGTGAATTGTTCTACATGAGAAATGGGGAAATGTTTGGACAGTCATTAGTACAAGTTCCTAAAGTATTTTTATTGTCCATATGTTCAATGTATTCAAATTTCACCAGATTGTCATTTAAATTCATCAAGCGAGCAAGTTGCTTGGATTTTTTGTAGCATCATGGTCATGTGAAACCTGGAAAAACTTTGATGTTGAAAATAAATAACACTTTACATTTAGGTTACAATTACTCAATTGGCAGACGCTTTTATCCAAAGTGACTTACATTTGAGGAACAACATACAAGCATCAACATCAAATACAGCACGAGATCTACAACTGACAATACATACTAGTAATAGCAGCAATAAATACTAGTCAGAGCTAATCGCACATCACATCAATGGCGTAAATACCTAAAGAAGTAAGAGTTAACAAAAAAGTGTGATCAATACAGGATAATTGTAAGGGGATAGAAGAAGGAAGTGCATCTTAGAGGTTAGGAGTTAGAGGTGTTCTAAGAGGAAGTGTTCTCGGAAGAGATGAGTTTTCAAGAACTTCTTGAAGTTAGAGAGGGACACCCCTGTTCTGATGGCGTGTGGTAGCTCGTTCCACCATCGCAGTGTCATAGATGAGAACAGCCGGCACTGGGATTGCTTTGTGTGTAAGGATGGCAGAGCCAGGTGACGTTCGTTGGAGGAGCGTAGTGGCCGAGAAGGATCGTAAACTTGTATTATGGAGTTTAAATAGATTGGTGCAGACCCAGTAGTCTCTCTGTATGCAAGCATTAGTGACGAATCTGATTCTAGAGGCCAGGGGTAGCTAGCGGAGGTTACACAGTAATGGAGTGTTATGAGTCCTTTTCGGCTGATCAAAAACTTGACACGCTGCTGCGTTCTGAACCATTTGTATGGGTTTCACCGCACAAGCTGGAAGGCCCGCTTGGAGGGCATTGCAGTAGTCGAGGTGAGAGATAACCATGGCCTGTACCAGAAGCTGGGTGACCTATTGAGTGAGGTAGGGCCTGATTTTTCTGATGTTGTATAGAGCGAAGCGGCACGACCGAGAGACAGCAGCAACATGGTCTGAAAAGGACAGCTGGTCAATTTGTAGTTTGATGTTGTGGTGGACAGATTGCTTGGCTGGAATGACCAAGAGTTCAGTCTTAGAGAGGTTTAGTTGAAGGTGGCAAGCCCTCATCCATGCAGATATGTCCGAAAGACAGTCCATGATCCGCGGCGAGACAGTGGGGTCGTCTGGCGGGAAGGATAGGTAGAGTTGCATATCGTCTGCGTAGCAGTGGTAAGAGGAGCCGTGCGAGCGAATGATTGGACCCAGTGAGGTGGTGTAAAGTGAGAAAAGAAGGGGCCCTAACACCGAGTCTTGGGGCACCCCTGTGGAGAGGCAGTGGGAGGAGGACAATTTTCCTTGCCACAAAACGTTGTAGGAACGCCCCGAGAGGTAGGATTTGAACCACAGGAGGGCTTTGCCCGAGATTCCCATTGCTGAGAGTGCGGATAGCAGGATCCTGTGATTGACTGTGTCAAAGGCAGTTGATCTGTCAAGAAGGATAAGAACCAAGCACTGGGCTGCAGCTTTAGTTGACCTTAGGGCTTCTGATATAGCTTGGACGAGATTCGAAGGAATCTGGTCCAGTGGGCATGTTGTGGGATGGCTACTGGTCAGGAGTTCTGATCCGGAGTCCTCGCTTTGCCTTGGTGTTGAGCCTTTTGCGCCATATCCCGAGGGAGGTGGAGGGACACATGGGACTGGGAGGGACTGCTACATGGTAGGTTTTCCTGTGGCGTGTTCACATAGTGGAAGCTGACCAGGGCGGGAATAAAATGGTTGATTTTGAGTACTTTAGAGAATTGGCTGGTTATAGCTGCCACTTTTTCTGTGAAGAAGGCAGCAAAAGTACCCGCAGACAAGTTTGTGGGCGTTGGAGGAGGCTTCAGTAGTGCTTTAAAAGTGAAAATAATTGCTAATTCTGTCATTATAGAACGCAGTTTTGGCAGCGCGGATGCTTGTTAAGAAGGAGGATAGGAGCAATTGGTAGCCCTTAAGGTCGGCAGGGTCTTTTGCTTTTCGCCATTTTCTTTCAGCAGCTCTGTGAGGAAGGGGACCTCGGGGAAACAATTGGTTTGGATCTGACCACTATCGATGAAATGATTCCGGCCAGAGAATCGATTCTGAGAGGATGCCTTTTTTATTCCAGCGACAGGTTACAACAGTGAATGGGTGTGGTTCTGGAAATTAACAAATCTCATGTCTTCAAATCAAATTCTTCCCAAATAAGGGTTTTCTATTATAAATCTTAAATATTCCAACAAATCTGGTGAAATCCCTTTCATAAATGCTACAAGGGAGAAGTTACTGCCTGCCTCTCCTGGAGGCTGGGCAGGTAGTGACGAATGAATGATGACCAAAAGTGGTCAGGCAGGACCTGGCTGTTCCTCCAACGGCGCCTCCCTAGGAGGTTGCTTGAATCGTACATTACCTGGGGAAGAGAGGCATCGTGACGTCCATGAGGAGGATACTTGGAGTTATCAGATCTAGGTCTACAGCATCTGAAGACAAGTAACCCAGAGGCTTGAAATTCAGAATGCCTTCGAATTTGAGAAGCACAGTCCGCAGCACAGGTTCGGGGACAATCTGTTCCTGGAGAATGACCTTAAGGGCTGCTTTGACTGATTTTACTTCCCTCTCCCAGGTCCCCCCAAAATGTGGGGCGCTTGATGGATTAAATCAAAAGGAAATCTTCTGTTCAGCCAATTATTCCTTAAGATAAGGAGCCGTAGACTGGAAGGCCTCACGCAGCTCTCGCTCCCCGCCAACAAAGTTGGTGCCACTTGATATGGACCAAAACAGTTCACTCCAGTCGAATAAAATGGAGGTTTGAACAGATGCAGCCGAGCAGGGGGGAGACAAGCCATCCTTGGAACCCCAGGCTTGGCCCGCCACCCCTGGCACTCCCGACATGCATGCTGCTGTCTTCGGACGGCCTCCCTTCCCCAGAGAATCCAAAACCTGCGGCGAAGCTCTGCCAGCACTCGTTGTGATCCTGGGTGCAGGAGAGTCTGATCAAAGTCTTGGATCAGCAGCTTTGTGATGGGATGGTGTGGATCCAAGATGATGGGGTGGATTGTGTCCATCTCGAGAACCTCTGATCGTCGAAGCCTACCGCCTACTTTAAGTAATCCAGTGGCCTCATCATATTCTGGTGCAAGAGACCCAAGGCGACTATCTAATAGAAGGGAATTCCCTGCCTGAAGGGCGTTCACCTCTTCTGGAAACGAGTCCCTCTGAGAGTATGTCAATAGAAGCTTCTCTGCTCTTATGTACTCTGTGGCTTCACATGGAGTGGTGGTAGCAGAGTCAGCTGCCCCATGTAGGGACCAGGCTGTAGCTTGTACAAGTTCCTTCCATGTGTGGAACTTTGTAATATCAGGGAGTTGTGGAACAGGGTCAAGGGATATGTTCCCAATGAAAGTAGACTTCTTAAGTTCGCTGTCCTCAGGTTCTGGCTCAGCCACAGGCATGACCGGCTACAGCTCTGGTGGGTGATGAGTGGGAGAAACTCTGTGCTGCTTTTCCATCGATGCATGCGCCTTAAATCCTCCAGGGATGGACCCCGCGTGATGTCATCTGCGGGGTTGTTGCTGGAATCCACATATCTCTAGCTCTCAATATCTGTCAGGTTTTGGATCTCTGTGATGTGGGTTCCCACAAAAACCTTGTATCAACAGGATTCAGATCTGATCCAGTACAGAACTGTGGTAGAGTCAGAATAGAGTATGATCCGCTGAATAGGGAGGGTAAGTTCTGTCTGGAGAACCTTGGTTAGCTCACCACCAGTGGGGGCAGCACTCAGCTCGGGTGCGTGGCATTGATAGCTGTTTCTTTGGTGCCACACGCGTCCGAGCAAGCACAAAACTCACGTGAATTTGCTGACTGTCATCTACAGTCCGCAAATAGGCAACAGAGCAATAAGCTCGCTCAGAGGCGTCACAAAATATGTGAAGTTCTCCGGTGGTGGTGAAAGTGTCAGCAGATGGTGGTGTGTAGGATAGGATCATCCCAGCCTCTGCTCTCCTTCCACAACTCCTGAATGAGCACCTTGCCTCTCGTAGTGAATGGCACAATGTAGCCCAGGGGGTCAGATTGGCAGGCTAGCACTTTGTAAACATGCCGCACAGTCGGAACCGATGTCTCAACAGGACGAGGTCTGGTGAAGTCCATCGACAAGGGCTCTGGCTTCTCCAACAGCACTGGTGCTGTACAAACAGTTGTCGACATAAAAGGAATGTTCCATGATTTAAGCAAATGTGGGATTGTCAACTTTGTGATCCTGGGCGTGTCTCTGCAGAGCATAGATCGCACAGCAGGGACTGCAGGTTGTTCCGAAGGGTAACACCTGCCACTCGTAAATGGTAGGCTCGTTAGATCTCTGCATGTACCGGTCGATCAGATGGCAGCAGACGGATCTGGTGGAATATATCTTTTATGTCCCCACTGATTGCCACGGTATGCTGACGGAATCTCACGAGGACACCGTGTAGGGTCAACCCCAGGGTTGGTCCTGGGAGGAGTTGGTCATTCAGTGATTGACCCCTATATGTGAAGGAACAGTTGAACACAATCCTTACCGTTGTGATGCACCATATGGTGGGGAACGAACCAGGACTCTGACCGGCAAATGGCGAAGCAGAAACGGGGACTGATGATGGCCTTGAGGTTGCTGCAGCTGCGGTCATAGCGATAGAGGTAGGATGATTTTTGGTCACATGGGCAGTAGGAGCATCTGGAGTTGGTGTATGGCTGATGGGAACCGCTGCTGGAAGCGATGTTATAGGTGCAGTCAGGGTAGTAACTGGGGCAGGTGGCACCATGGGCGATATGTCATCCGGGGGCCCAATGGCAGTCACAACTGGAACATTGACCATATTTAGCTGCTGCGGAGTAGATTGTCCAAGGATTAGAAGCGGAAATAGCCCCAGAGTCAACTGGGATTTCACCTGTCATCCCTAAGAAGGGCTTTAAGGTAGCCACTGATGATGCACTGTCCGCTGACTTGACCTCTTCTTATTCCTGTAGAAATGAGGTGACTAGCCGAGCTACTGATAACTCATTCTCCACTTTCTGGAGCCGGCGTCATCGGTCTAGCTGCTTGGTCATGGCCTCTCGTGCTTGGTGGGCCTCCTCTTGGAGGGATTGGCCTTCTCTGGCTTTAGTCGCTCACACTCCCAAGTCAGCTCTGGAATCCTCTTCTATTTGCTGTCGCAGTTCTACAAGCTCCATTTGCTTTATCCTCTCTTCTAGTAAAGCAGCCTGGACACGGGAAAGAGAATGGCTCGGATAAATCCCCACTGATGACTCAGAGGTTAGTCGGGAGGATGCACTTGACCGGGAGCTCGATATGCTCTTCTCTGAAATGACCCTTCGGTGACCACTACGCCTTTCTGGGAGACACGGTAGCATGGTAGAAGGATGCTGGGAAGGAAGATAATCGACATTATAGCTGGCCAATTGCACTGGGGGATGTCGCTCTCTTTGGGGTCATCCATATTGTTGCTCTTGGTGTGTCCAATGGTGCTGACTCCATAGTGTTTAGTATGCATGTTAACAGGAAATTAACTTGCTCTACAGCTGAAGAAACATAAGCAGATTCTCACCTGATTCACTCATGCACACAAATCACAAGGGAGAAGTTATGAAGCTCAGTTGTCCCTGCTGGACCAAACAAAACTGTCTGTCGCTACTCTGCAGCTGATAACGGTGAATTTGCAGGTTCGCATGCACGCGCACATCGTGCACGTGCGCGCTCCGCGACGATCTGGGAACACACATCTGGCTTTCGTACAAGCTCTGTGATTAGTATGGAGCCGACAGGTGGTATCAGTTAGCCACGGGTGGGACTGGTTCAGGTAAACAGGCTTAGTGGATAGAGGAAACAGGCTATCCAGGCATGAGCTCAGTGTAGAGCACAGAGATTGTGTAGCATTATTGACTTTCTGTTAGTTACCAAATGAAGGCTCAAAACAGATTTCAGTAAAAATATATTGCAAGTTAGGCCATTAGTTATGAAACTAGTGGGGGTTTTTGTGTGTGTGTGTTTTTTTTTTTTGTTTTTTTTTCCCTTCATTTTATTGGATATATTTATTTATTGGATAGAGATAGTGAAGAGATGACAGGAAATGAGAGACGGATACAACGAAGATCCCCGACCGGATTTGAACCTGGAACTTTTAGATTATGTTTAAATAAGTAACTGTTTAAACATATGGAATTCATATTATCAAAGTATCTAAAAATGAGTACGTGTATCATAACATGTAGTACGAGAGTTGACCATTGTTGTATTTTCATGCAGATCTGGATCCAGATGCACATGAACCTTTTCGAAATATTTATAGTTGTGGAGCCTTAGCAGAAGCTTGTTCTCTCTAAATAACTCTTACACATTTATGTGGCATACAATCATTATAAATATGTGTTTGTTGCAGGGTGCAGGGACTGATGATGCCACCCTGATGAGAGTGATGGTGAGTCGCAGTGAGGTGGACATGCTGGACATCAGAGCTGAGTTCAGGAGGAAGTTTGCCTGCTCGCTGTATTCCATGATCAAGGTACACACACAACATAATATGCTCGCAACATGTATGTGTATTTGACAATAAAAGTACACACACACACAAATAAACTGCATTACACAAACACTTACAAGTAGCCATTATGCATAAATCTTTTTTTGACCCCTTTGTTAAATTCTGCATGTGTTCTTGTTACAGGGAGATACCAGCGGTGACTACCAAAATACCTTACTGTTGCTCTGTGGGGGGGATGACGTGTAAACATGGCAATAAGCAGTACAACAGAAACCACACCTGAAGTGCCTCTTCTCTAAGTTGGCCCTTTGTGCCGTCGTATCATCAAAACAGGAAGCTATCGTGAAGTCAATATTCATCTCAACAAAACTTTCTAGTGAGAGAGATGGCCCATCAGGTCTTTTTAAACTATGATACCAAATAACGTCTTTGAAAGGTAGCTAACACTTTGTCCACATCCGCATTATAATGCCACTTTTGGTTGACTAACATCTTTAAGATGACTTGTAACATTAATTTGTAACGCTGAAGTATCAGACCACAATTGTTTTGTGTGCACTTTGTATGGCAGAAACAATAAATATTTTAGCTGATGAAGTACACTGGCATTTTTTTCTTCTCTCTGGCATGTCTCTCAATACAATGTCTGACCTGCAGTACACACAAGTAAATGTCTAGTATCTGTTGAACATGCACTGTCCTCTGATAGCCAATAAAGTGAGATAGAGCAGCTGTGTGTTTAAGCACTTCAACATCATGGCATCATTACTTTTAGACAGGTGGGAAGTACTTCACTAAAGGAACATTAGTTCTATACTTACGTCCAGTCTTTTTGTACCTACGCAGCTTCGACATACTTAATAAATTGTATTTCTTATTCAACAATGTTTATTTGACAGCTACAGTAGCTGCTGACTTTACAAATTAAGACTTACAAACAAAACATTATCAGTTCACAAATGTGAAGCATTATTACACATTAAATTACTTTATTTGGATTGACAGAGAAGACGGAAATGAGGGCGTGAGAAAGAGCACGATGTTCAGCAAGCAGCTGCAGGCTGGAACCAGACCCAGGCCACTGCGATAAGGACTCGGCCTTGAACACAGAGCTGTGCTCTTCCAACTGACGCCCCATCCACACTTTTGCTACGTTTGCACCTCCCGTCCAGACTAAAATGGCGAAAACGAAGACCTAAAACAAGAGACGTTTGAAAACGCTACCAACCCCGTTTTTTGTATTAAAACTCTGGGTACCATTTTAGTGTAGACCGACAAAAACAGAGGACTCACGCTTGGCTCTCTGATTGGAAACAGGATGCTGCTGACAGAGTTTTTGATTTGGTATTTTTATTTAAAAATTCTGTACCTTGCAAATAACGCTTATCTGCCTACACTTGAAGCTACTGTGCATGTAGTCATTTATTTTGCGATGACTTTCAGTCTGTTTTCCGCCGCCACAGTCTCTTTTAACACCCGTGTTACATTCAGTAACAGTCCCAGCTCATTACTGGTCCATGCAAAAAAAAATCTGGTGTGGTTCTTTGTCTGTAGTATCCTTCTTTATTCTTTTGCCAAATCTTCTGTAACTAAGGAAGAGAGAGTATGGAGGACTGATCCTGACAAATTCCAAAAATAAATAGAAATATATAAATGCTCAATAAATAAATAAGCATCTGATTAAATGCACAAAATTAACAACAAAATTAAATTATACAAGGAGACATAAATGTATCTATTTTTATTAGCTTCTTTATTTATTCACCTTTGTAATAATTACCTTATTTATTGTTCCGTTGGAGATATATAGACATGCAAGGTATCAAATGAAAGGTCTGTTCAAGCCGGATCGATTGATACCCCCCCATCACTGTGGGATGTTCTAAATCTACAGGCCTGTAAAGCATGGGAGTGCTTTTGGTGACAGGAATGTTGATGAATACTCCTGTTTATAATCAATATTTCAATGTTTTGTCATTTGGAAATAGGTTGTATAGACTGAAAAAGTGTTAAAAGATCCATCCATCGTCAACCGCTTATCCTGCGTACATGGTCGCGGGTGGGGGGCTGTAGCCAATCCCAGCTGACATTGGGCGCAAGGCGGGGTACACCCTGGACAGGTCGCCAGTCCATCGCAGGGCCACACATAGACGAACAACCACTCATGCTCACACCTAAGGACAATTTAGGGTAACCAATCAACCTAGCCTGCATGTCTTTGGATGGTGAGAGGGGGGAACATGCAAACTCCACACAGAAAGACAGGTTCAAGGTTTTGAACCCACAACCTTCTTGCTGTGAGGCAACAGTGCCAACCACCGTACCACCGTGCCGCCTGTGTTTTAAAGATATCTATCAATAAAAGTCAGCATTTTAACAATAAATATTGCCAAAATATGGAAATTCGCCTGGTATATTTAAAAATGTTGTATGATAACTGTTGTTCAGATTTACAGTTACAATTGCATTCTAGGTGTATTAGAAGATATTCAATTGCATTAAAAGTTAACTCAGGATGGTTTTGATGGTTTATTGCATCAAAATATAGCTTTTTTTACCAGGCGAGGCAAAACATTTCAGATTTTCTCTTTATTGCATCTCCATGTAGTCTGTAAAAGTAAAATAAATATATTAATACACAATGGATTCATATTCCTTAGCTTCTGACCTTTCAAAGGAGACCAGAATTATGCATCTAGGCCTAATGGTTGAGGAGATATTAGTGATTTATTTTGGGTATGTTATTTTAGGCGTTTTTCAAAGAAATAGGTGCCAGGTATCATTTAACTAAATTAAAAGCTGCTGAATGAGTTTTGCTTTATGTTTCAGTGTGTGTTTGGTTGAAGGAGGGCTCGTCCCTGGTTCTGTTACCCTACTTTCTGCTATAGTTTTATTCTAGAAAATGTTGTGTGGTGAGGTCTTGACCGCAGCCTCCTGCCGGAGGGGAGTGTCTGACCATAGTGACTGTCGTCACAAGGTACAGGTGTACATGTCCTGGAGGGAGGGTAGGTTGCAGCCAATGGCCTTTTTTGCAAAGCAAATGATATAGTCTGCAGCCTGCCCTTAAGTGTCAGATGGTGATGGGGGAGGTGAGGATGGACACAACTATTGCAGTGTAAAAGAGCGCCATCATTGCCATGGCAGAGGTTTGTTAAATGTAAGTCGTATTTGGCGGTTGGTGAGCTGATGTTCAGCGCCCACTTGAGGTCCTGGGTGATTTCAAGAAGTGAAAGCATTCCACAGTGTAAATTAAAAATATTTGAGAGAGTACGTTATCCTAATTACTGGGCTGTAAGTGAATTATCCACTTTATTTTACTGTGTTTTAACCAAGCTGCAGCCTCCAGGGCCAAAATGGAAGCGCCAAAAACTGCAGTTTGTGGAATGGCCCACCTGAGGCTGGCTCCAAAAGTGAGTCAGTCACCATAGGTACGCTTGGTAAGGTTTTAGTCTCTATAGCTAATTTCGCCCTTCATGACAACTTCACTGGGGGAGAATATTCTTATGACTCACTTGGTCAAATTCAATCAAGGCTCAAAGTTATGCATAATAAAGGATATGAATGAATTAAGCGACAGGTCGGTTCCACTACAGGTGGCTGCTTTCAACAACCAGACTTCAGTCGGCCCGTTTCAGCTCCACGTCTTAGTACATTTTTGGATTAGTCAGAAGTCAGTCACTGCCAAGATGGTGACGACTTGAGCCACCACACTGAGCTTCATATTGGCTCTTCAGGAACTTGTGGGTGACGTCAAGGAGACTAGGCTACTTACATATGTTTTTATAGTCTTTGGTTTTCAAACTATAAATATGCTCACCTTGCTTTTCCATTCAGTCTTCCAGTGAATGGAAGGCTGTCCACTAGACAAAATGGGACTCATCCTGGATCAAAGACTCAGCAGGCGGACTGTGTTCGGAGCTGACAGAGCCAAAGACTCCAGAAAGATGATAGGAGGCAGACTGTTTACATCGATGATGCACACAATCTAAGTGACACTGTTTCCCAAATGTTGACTTGACTTTTGTGACGATAAAACCATTTTATCATTACCATCTTAATGCCGTTTGCATTCCCCCAGACAAATTAAAAAAAATAAATACACTGCTGAATAATTTCCTGGGTGAATTTGAGAATGCATACAGTAGGACTATGTAGCCTATATAAACAACAGTAGGCCAAATAACTATGTTTTATTTTACTTATTTAATAGGTTTCTCTCTTCTAATGTACATTGAATTATGTGTTACTAGAATTTGTGCAAAATAAAAAAATTTTAAAAAAAAGTCTTATGCAAGGTGAAAGAGTAAATGTAGCCAACAAAAATACAATTGTGACATGTGGAGTTCCAAGGCTCCATTCTGGGACCTCTTAAAATTTACATGCTTCCACTGGCTCAGATTATGAAAAAAAACAACAAAATATGTTACCATAATTATGCAGATGACACACAGATTTACATAACCATTTCACCAGGGAACTATGATCCCACAGGCGCTGAGTAACTATTGAGCAGGTCAACGATTGGATGTGCCAGAATTTTCTTCAATTAAACAAGGATAAAACTGAAGTTATTGTTTTTGGAGCCAGGGAGGAACGATTGAAAGTCAGTGCTCGACTTCAATCTGTAATGTTAAGAACCACAAATCAAGCCAGAAATCTTGGTATAGTCATGGACTCAGACCTGAATTTGAGGAGCCATATTAACACAATTACAAAGTCAGCCTACTATCACCTGAAGAATATATCAAGGATTAAAGGACTTATGTCTCAGCAGGACCTGGAAAAGCTTATCCATGCATTTATCTTCAGTCGACTTGACTACTGTAACAGTGTCCTTACAGGGCTCCCTAAGAAATCCATCAGACAGCTGCAGCTGATTCAGAACGCTGCTGCTCGAGTCCTCACTAAGACCAAAAAGGTGGATCGCATCACTCCAGTTCTAAGGTCTTTACATTGGCTTCCTGTATGTCAAAGAATTGATTTCAAAATCCTGCTGTTAGTTTATAAAGCACTAAATGTTTAGGGCCAAAATACATTTCTGATCTTCTGCTTCGTTATGAACCATCCAGACCTCTCAGGTCGTCTGGGGCAGGTCTGCTTTCTGTCCCCAGAGTCAAAACTAAACAAGGAGAAGCAGCTTTCAGTTATCATGCTCCGTATATTTGGAACAAACTCACAGGTAACTGCAGGTCTGCTGAAATGCCTGAAGACTTTTTTTTACCATTGCTTTTAATTAAATATTTAAGATTTTTCTTTTTATTGATAACTTAAACTGCACTGTAACTTTTACTGTCCTGTTTTTTCTTTTTTAGCTTTATTATTTTCCATTTCTCTTTTAACCCTGATTGTAACACTAACTTTTATTATATTTTATGCTGCTTTTAAACTTTTACATATTTTCCTGTTGCTTTTATGTTTTAAGTAAACCACCTTGTTGTTAAATTGTGCTATACAAATAAACTCGCCTTGCCTTAAAGGAGCACCTGCCCCCAGACTTCCCACACCGGTAGCCATTCACCACTAACAAGGGGGCGTGACCATACGCAGCTCCAATCTCTCTCACACACGTCACCCCGGTGCCCGTCTGGCACCAACAACCATGCAACGCTCAAAATTGCTTAAATCACCTTTCTTTCCCATTCTGACATTCAGTTTGGAGTTCAGGAGATTGTCTTGACCAGGACCACACCCCTAAATGCATTGAAGCAACTGCCATGTGATTGGTTGATTAGATAATTGCATTAATGAGAAATTGAACAGGTGTTCCTAATAATACTTTAGGTGAGTGTATATCACACAGTTCACTAATCAAGTGGGACTCAAAATTTGCACCTAGATCTGAGTGAAAAGTCTCTGGGCAACCAAAAGGCTGTATCACATGGTCCCACAGGGCCCGGGCTGTCGTCAATGCAGTCTGGTCGGGGGTAGGAATGGCCCACGCATACTTAGTGAACAAGTCTGTTGCAACCAGCACTTGTTGGTACTGTTCAGTTGCTAAAAAGTCTATGGCCAGGATATGCATTGGGGCCTTAACAATTGGGACCAGTGGGGCTTTACCTTCAGGCCGAGTCTTGCAAAGTACACACTGGGAGCATGTTCTTGTCCAGGCCACGACAGTTTCCTCCTTGCGGAGCCAAAAGAATCTTCTACGCAAGAGGTTCAGGGTCCTTTCCACCCTCTGGTGGCCGGTCTCGCCATGGTAGGCCTCCCAAAGAGGCCTGGTCTGTCCTTCAGGTACCACACTTTGTTGGAGAGTCTCAGAAGTCAGTGGGTCTTTCACACTATGACACACAACACCGTCTCTTAAATTCAACTTTTTCCATTGCTGCAATATCTTCCTCTCTGGTTCTGGCAGTCGGGCCCTTTCGGGGGCCCTGGGTAACCCACCTCCATCCAGGTAGTTTCTCACCCGTCTCAGCACACCGTCCTCGGCTTGCATCTTCTTCCAATGTATGGGGTCCCATCCCCAACTCTGTGGCACAGTTTCCTCCCGGGTCATCAATCATCGCAACCAGCAGTTCTTCCTCTAATGCTGGCTCCCAGGCATCCTGTCCTGGGTCAGAAGTGGGGAGCCTCGACGGCGAATCAGCATTTGTGTGGTCCCACCCTGGTCTGTACTTAATGGTATAGTCAAAGTTGGCCAACTGGGCCGCCCCACCTTTGTTCTACTGCCCCCAATTTAGCAGTCTGCAGATGCACTAGGGGGCTATTGTCCGTCACCACAGTCACTTTTGTACCCCACAGATAGTCTTTGAACTTCTCCACCGTGGCCCACTTTAATGCTAGTAACTCTAGTTTAAATGAGCTATAGTTAGCGTCATTACGCTCTGTAGGATGAAGACTGTGACTGGCATAAGCAATAACTTTCTCAGTCCCTTCCTGCTCCTGTGCAAGCACGGCCCCCAGTCCTAAATTACTTGCGTCTGTGTACAAGGTGAAAGGTAGAGTAAAGTCTGCATATGCTAGTATAGGGGCCTTGAGAAGTTTTTGTTTTAGCATATGGAAAGCAGTCTCACACTGGTCTGTCCAATTGACTGCTATAGTCCCTCCTCGTTTGCGTCCTGTCCCCACAAGCAACGCATTAAGGGGCTTGGCGACCTTGGAGGAGTCTAACCGCCTACAGTAGCCCACAAAACCTAAAAAGGAGCATACCTGCCTAACCGTTGTGGGGGCACTCCACTCCTGAACTGCGGCCACTTTCTCAGGGTCCGGTGACACGCCCTGCCCACTAACTACATGGCCCAGGAACCTTATCTCTTTCTGAAAGAGATGACACTTAGTGTTCGAGGGACTGAAACACAGCTTCCAAGTGACTGAGGTGGGTGGCAAAATCTGCCGAGAAGATGATCACATCGTCGAGATAAACCAATGCTGACTCTGATAACTGGCCACCTAGACACCGCTGCATTAACCTTTGGAATGTAGCTGGAGCATTACACAGGCCAAAAGGCATTCTCTCAAACTGGAATAACCCGAGGTGTGGTGAATGCAGTTTTTTTTCCCTTGTCCGTTTCTTCTACTTCAACCTGCCAATAACCACTCGCCAGATCCAATGTGGAATACCACTCAGCTTTGGTCAAACTAGTTAGGGAGTCTTCGACACGTGGCAGGGGGGAAAGCATTACGCTGTTGAGTTTACGACACACAAAAAAAATAAATAAATAACTACTACACAAAACCGCCAGGACCACACTTCTTTTGAACCAACACCATAGGTGCTGCCCACGGACTACAACTCTCTCTGATGACTCCCTTCTCCAACATTCCTTGCAGCAAACTGCGCACTTCTTTATACAATGTAGGGGGTAGTGTCCTAAATCTCTCCCTAATGGGTGCTGCATCACCTGTTGGAATGTGATGTTTGATAATATCTGTATGGCCATAATCCTCATCATTTGCCGAAAACACATGCTGCCACTTACCTAGAAATTGTCGAAGCTGCTGCCCTCCTTCACTTAGCTGATCACTATGGGGTACAGGGATGTTTTGCTGGCTTACGGCCTCCTGACTCTGCCCCTGGTTTACCTGAACAAGCCCTACTTCCACCACCCCAGGGCCCACCTCCGTGAAGGAGACATCTGTACCTTCCCGAACACTCACTGAATCAATTGCAGACACTGTGGCCAACTGTTGGTGCATATGCATATATATAGATATAGATATAGATATAGAGAGAGAGAGAGAGTTATGTATACGCACTGGTATTCGTCCCCCCCGCACAGTGACTAATGTTCTGGCTACCTCTACTTGGATATCCCCTCCCGCGGGTTCAACCAGGGCGCAGGGATTCTGCAGGTCCTTTAACTCGAGCCCACAGCAATGCCTCGCTCTGAGCTGGGATGGACACGGCGTAGTGACAGCCTACTCTAGCGGTGCTCTCCCACTTCTCCCGGATGGTGGCAGCTTGAACTCTGTGGCAGTCTGCAGAGACACTGTCCCACTCCTTGCCCCATGCTGTTGTCTTGGGTTGGGGAAGCGAATCCTAACGACTGTGAAACAGTTTTTCCCCCAACAGGTGAGAATCACATTCATCCCCAGTAGTGCTTTGTTAGTCCCCAGACAGTCATCCCTCACAATCACAACCCCACTGAATGCCACAGTAACCGCCCCAATCTCAAAGTCAGCCACCAAGTAACCCACAAAGGGAATGTCTAGTCCATTTGCGGCACGCAGAGTCAGCCACTGAAGGTTGTCGGGGTGCCGTTGTTGTCCTTTAAAAAGTTCACTACACAGGGCTTCACTATATTGTGTGACTTGTGACCCAGTATCTACTACACAATTAACCTCTACACAGTCTACTTTGACTAGTGCTCAGGGACAAGATTTCGCCATGATGGCCTCTTTAAGTGGGTGACTAGGGTCGTTTGGGGGGCTCCTGGCCACATGACCCGCTGTGGCCAGCTCAACTAAAAATCCTGTGCTGATCCCTGGCGAGTGCAATATCGCTTGATGTGCCCTACTTCTCCGCAGTGATTACAGAGGGGACGGCCATCTTTGCTCCACTGAAACCTGGGATAACTTACAGGGGGTCTCGCCACCTGCCTCGGCTGTGCCAGACTATCGGAATAAGCCCTGGGCCGGTGAGGATTTTCAGAGACACTCAGTCTACCATTCAAGGTCCTCATCTCTTCTAGCAGTGTTTTTGTAATATCAGCTAATTGTTCTCTGACCTCTTTAAGGATCTCTTCTTTGAGTTCCTGTTTCCAGTCTTAACTTTGCTGAGGTGTCCAACACCGGCCGCTCAACGTGACAGACAGGTACTGACCAATGTTCCTCTTGGTCTTCCTCTTGGGCCTGTGCCTCGCCTTTGACAGCATCAAAAGAAAGGTCGGGATCATTTCTGACCTGACGCTTGTAATCCGATGACAAACTGGTCCCGGAGGATGAGGTCCCCCTGCCTCAAGCTGTCGCCCGAACAACTCTCGCAGCTGCAAAGCGAAGGATCTCAGCGACTGGTCCAGTCCCTGCTTGCAATTAAAAAACTGAGCTCTTAGTGCAGCCACTGGAGTCACATCCCCATGCAACCCAGATATAAGTAAATATCTTCCCAGGTGTGTTTCTATCAGCCTGCTCCAAGGTCAATACTTCCAACCTTGCAATCCCATCTAAAAACCCCAACACATAGTCTGCTTTCTGCAAGTCATTTAGTGGCTGGAAGTTCAACATCATCTCTATCTGGGGCCTCCACTCCCCCAACTTAACACTAGAGCCCTCCCCGCTAAATCTCTGCAGCCATGGCATCCCCATTACAGAAGGCATTGTGGGGACTTGGGGCCCTGCGGCAGGTCCCGGTACTGGTTCGTCACCAAGCATGTTGAACAGTAGCAGCTAGCTCAACCAAAGCAGATCCTGCCGACAACGCCAAGTGTGACCTCCGCTGCGCGGCTGTTCGCTCGCGGGTCGGCTAGTTAAAAGAAACAATTAAAACTTAATTTGGGTAAGATTCTGCTGGGGAACGGGCTGCACCGAAACATGAGGCTCAGACCAGTACAGTTTATAAAACCAATGCCAGTGTCTTTATTAAAAAAAGGAAGCACAAAAATAAGTTCATCAAAAGGCCTAAAAATTATAAAGAGAGTTAATAATAAAAACTCATAAAAGTCGACTCTCCGCCTCACGTCGTGCGTGGTGACCACCGCGTCTCTCTAGCTTGCCGCCTTTGGTGCAGCTGCCGTCCTGCTGTCCTGCCGTCGGCTCTACTCTTCCCTACTCCCGTGTTCTTCTTCCGGGTTTCTCCCGTCTCGTTATAAAGGTGCACCTGTCCCCAGACTTCCCACACACCCACACCGGTAGCCATTCACCACTAACGAGGGGGCGTGACCATACGCAGCTCCAATCTCTCTCTCTCACACACACGTCACCACGGTGACACAATGAATTTGTGAAATACATTGTTTAACTACAATTTAATTGTTACCTCAGTTAGTAGTAAAAATATTGAAGAGAGAGATCTCTGGTGGCCTTCGTTTTTGTTGTCACTGTTAGACCTCCCCTAATTTAACTGTTGTTCCACCCTTTGTCCCCAAAATAATCTGGACCCGCCCTGTCGGCGGTCGGTCCTTCTTCTCTTCTCTTATAACAGGTGTCACACCTGTCCTCTCCGTCTGCCTGGTGCAACTCCGTGGTAAGCGTCTCACATCACCGAAACACTTTCCGTTTATCGTTGTAACATTCAGGGGGAAAAAAATCAGCAGCAAAGATGAGCTGGGACAGCCAGGGTCTACCTGTCGACACAAGGCTGTCATGTCTGGTTTACGGAAGTTTGACAGCTACGCCACTCAAGCTAGACTGGAGAGTAGATCAGGCACCGGATAAAAACTAGAACGATCATTGCAGAATTAACTAGGATACATGTGGTCTTTAGAGAGAGTTCGGTATTTGTCACGTTTCGTTGTTTAACAATCTTGTTTCTCTCTTGAACAGATTTTCTTCTTACCGCCGAACAAACCTCCAAGACTGTCAAAATGGTGAGTAATTTTCACTTCACGTTTCATCTGTTAACATAAAGAAACACGGCAAACTTTTCATACGAAGGATAACTAAAATCATATTGTGAGAGTAGCCTTAGCCTATTTGCAAAAATCCGTTATTTAGGTTATGTGATTCAGTAGTTTTAGGGAATCAGTGTTCTTTGTCAGGGTGGAGTTGTAGGATACATTACCACAGTAAAATGTCATATTGATGATTATCAGTTTGATCTGGAGCTGTACACCGGACCTCTCCTTAGCAAATGCAGTGAAAAGATCAAATCAGACCTGTCTGTGCAGCCCAAGCCTGATAGAGCACATTCCTCGCATTGAAAGATTTTAAATGTTGTCATTTAATCAATGAGCCACACCTGTGCACTGAATGGTATGTTCAGAAGGCATTGTATTTTCTTTTTAGGGAGTGTCTGGAATGAGTGGAGCATTGTTGCAGAAAGCAGAACTTTGTCTAAAAATCTCCAAATGGCATTCTTGCTGTCTTAAGTGTGTAGCCTATCCATATGCTCTTCTGAAATAGGCCTACTGTTTCGACATTCAAGGAAATTAGGCTATTAGCTTGGTAATCAGATTGCCAAGTGTTTGATGAGCCTATGTACAGAACAAGTGTCACAAGGTCTTACATTAACGCACACAAAGAAGAGGAGTTATTTATTTGCTTTTATTGATCAAACAACAAGAAAATTGAAGAAGACAGTGGCTTTTTTCAAACTTTAGCGATATCCAGAGAGAGAGAGAGAGAGAGAGAGATTTTTTAAAGATATTTTCAATTAAGGTTTTGCTTTAGTTAGCGAGAATAAAATAGGTTTGTTTTGAGATTTGAAGCTTGCTGAGATTTCCGACAAGGCAAAGATCATGGGGAACATGGCGATTGAAGTCCAATATCATGGGAACACTTCAATAAAGGTTTTTGTATTATTGTCAGGTTCCTAGCATGGTGTTATGATGGAAGTTGTGAGTGTCTGCAAGTCTCATTAAAAATAATCTGCTGTAGGTATTATGGGTTCTGTGCAGTATTTTGTACTGTGTCATCTGTATATCACAGTTGGAAGAACATTTCAAAGTTCAGCATAGAGGTCCAGAATAAGGGGATATCGGCTGCCCTACATAAAATACATAACTTTACATACACTTTACACTTTACATAACAAATTTACCACTGAAAAATCCTCTTATGCCCATTTCTTCCATGTTGTAGGCCAGCAGAGGAACTGTGAAAGCCAGTGGAAACTTCAATGCCAAGGCAGATGCTGAGGTCTTGCACAAGGCCATGAAAGGGCTGGGTAAGGATGCTTGTGTGTATGCACATTGGCCATCAGCACAGTGTCATCTGATATGTTAAAGGTCAGTTAGTTGTACAAATCCAACATACCAATGAGAGATCGTTTTTTGTGGAGTTCCTCTCTAAACAATAACTGTTGGGGGCTTCACCCAGACGGCAGTGAGTCATAAACGTGAGCAGAGTTGACACTTGAGTCATTGTGAGCAAACACAGCTGTTGACCTCGACTGAAGGCTGTAATAACGTGGGTAAAATAAGTCCACCTAGACATAGCGTGTTCATTGTTATGTAATATGTATAGCTTGTGAGAATAGTTATAAACAAACAATTGCTGCTTGGGTGAGTAACCATGGTGCTTGTTTGTCAAAGGGACCAACGAGGCTGCCATCTTGCAGCTGGTGACTGCTCGCAGCAACCCCCAGAGGCAGCAGATCAAGGCCGCCTACAAAACTCAGTTTGGAAAGGTTGGACTTCCTTAACAGCAGTTAAACCACGTGGCCCTACATATAACAACTTAAAAAGACCTCACTGTGCTTCAAACGAACCACTGTGCAACGTGTTGTCCAACCACATTTAAAGGCATAATGTTTGATGGTCTGAATGGCCACACTTGTCGTTGTAGCCGCCTCCTGGCTAAATCTCACAGATTTTTTTCCAAGAATTCACTGTCTTTTGCGTGTCTTTGTAGTCTTGACATAATTAATTGTGCAAATAGGAATAAGGGCGCACACTTTTAGTGTTAGGGATAGGTTAGTCAGATTGTGATTGTTGTGGGGCATCAGAAAGAATTTGTAGGGACATTTAATCCAGTCTGTGCACACATCTTGGTCAACAGAGAAAATAATACAGAATAAAAATGAAATCAAACTGCATCAAAAATTACAACAATTGTTTCTATTTTGTATAAGAATTATTGAAACAAAGTGGATTGTTATGATTAAATCAACTTACAAGCAAATAGGCCAACAATCCTATTGTAAAATGGTTAGCATCTGCATCTCTAGGTAATTTTCTAACACACAATTAGCTCTATTTTGTTATAAGGATAGAGCCAGGTTAGCTGCTCCCCCCCCCCCCCCCCCCCCGCCACCATTTCCAGTCTTCATGTTAAGCTAAGCTATCTGCTGGCTCCAGCTTGATATTTATGGTACAGACATAAGCATGTCTCTCCAAGAAAGCAAATAAACATATTTCCCAAAAGGTTGAATTATTCCTTTTTAATATAAGCTGAGCAGAAACTGCCACTGTACAGGCAATAATTACCTCCCAACATGATTAGATGTTGCTTATTTAACCAGTGCCCTTTAAAACCTTTCATAATATTTGGGCATTCTCTTCTCAGAAGCACATCAAAAATATGATAAGACCTTGAGAGAAGAGTTTAAAACCTGACGCCTTTCACACCTCCGCACACCTTGCCAGTTACTGCAAAAATTAGCCGTACTTGCCTGATTGTTGGACCCCACAAATCCGCTGTCTGTTTCAGAAGCTGTTAGATGATCTGACAAGCACTTTGTTTGAAGCATACTGGGGCCTTTAAACCCAAAGAGACATTACACAATATCAATGCTCCAACTTGACTGGGTCAAACCATTACCGTCAGTACGGTAAAGATGATCACCAGATAATCAAAACATATGACATGACAGGATTATTCACAACCATAGAAAAATAATCCGGCCATACATGACAACCATAAAATTGCATAACGTTACAGTGTAGTCACACACTGGATTTATGCTGCATCAGAACTAATTAAAGTACAAAATGTATCTTCATGTCAGGATCTGATACATGTCCTGAAGGGAGAGCTGGGTGATAAATTTGAGACCCTGATCGTGGCTCTGATGACCCCACCCATCACTTATGATGTGACATCCCTCCACCACGCCATCAAGGTAGGTGCTGCAGTTGCCAGATATTTCTAAATAGAGACATACATTTAAGCAGTCAGAGTAGCTGGATACTCAAATGTCGTTTCATCACATTTCCATATTTGACCTGTAGGGGGCAGGAACAGATGAAAAGGTCCTGGTGGAGATCCTCGCCTCCAGAACACCTCAGCAGGTGAAGGACATCGTCGCTGCTTATAAACAAGGTAATATGCAAACACACACACTCAAATACTACCTGCTACACCCATCTTAAAAAAGGATATTAAGAGCATGCTGTACAAATTCTATGTTTACATGCAGTTTAATTGGTCTATTGCTTGAAAATGCCCAGTTATGGTATTTAGTCCAAGAAGACAGGACACTGTAGTCCACAATCTTCATGTTTTTTCCTCTACTTAAAAAATCCTTTTTTAAAAATACAAAATTTAACATGGTTACAACATGTAATAAACAGCCCTAAGCTGCCATACATTTTATGATTCTGTTTTCCTATGAGAATGGGATATTTTTCTCTATCTTGAGAACAAAATGAAAGTCTAGTACAGGGGTTGGCGAGTAAGTTTGGCATCAGGCAATTATTTTTAGGATGTTAGTGGTTGTCAATGTTAACTCAGTTTGTAAAGTAAAGGACACCAAATCTAAGGATTGTGTATTTGATGTGTGTTATTTTATCCTCTTCAATAAATCAATCATGAAAACAATTTCAAAATAAGCAGGACCCTGTGATTGGTCCACATCCATCAACCTCTAACCCGAAGGCTATTTCAGAGGTGTGTCAAGCACCTTTGAGCACTTGGATTGGATTCCCCTGAAGGAGTAGCAATGAGTACAATTTCCTCTGCCTGGGGATGCCGAGGAAATGTAAATAATCGTCCATAGGTGGATGTATGAGGACCAATATCTGCGACGCACACACTTCAGCACATGCTTATTGTAAGCAGTATCTTCATATTTACTAAAAACATTCACCCAATGATTGGATCAAACACACAACTCTCAGATTGAGAGATCACAAGAGAATATCCCTTTATCACGGGACAACAACATTCGTTATCTCGAAAAAACGGATGTTATCACTGAAAAATGGAGTAAATACAAATGTATGAATGTATGGCAGCTCAGGGCTTCCATGTTTAGTTTGGGTTTCTCATGGACAGATTTTTCCTGTAAAAATGTAATTGCTGTAGATTACAGCTGGGGGAACCTTCTTCACGATCCGGGCTAAAATAAAAACAGCCTGTGTGTTTTGTGTCTACCTCAGAGTACGATCATGACCTGGAGAAGGACATATGTGGTGAAACTTCAGGTCACTTCCAGAATCTTCTGGTTATTCTGCTGCAGGTATATATCCTCATTTCCTTTCCTGATATCTTGTCTCTTCTCCTCTCAATCCTTGTTTCTTCCCTTCTGTTCTCTCTTGTATTCTTGTCTCCTCTTAATCCCTATTTCCTGAGGACAATCAAAATCTGACTAATCTCCTCTCTAACAGAGATGTTTTGTGTCTCGTCAGGCAAACAGGCAGGCGGGGATCCAGCAGGAAAATATCCAGAGTGATGCTGAGGTGAGTCGTTTGTTGCTGGTCAATTATTATTTCTTCTCTTCACCATGAATGGTGTCTCTGTCTCCTTGTCTGAAAGCGTGACTGTCATGTGTTTGTAGACAGGGGCTTGTCTTATGTTGACCTCTAGTGGAGGGAGTCAGTCACAATTTTCTTATGATATACCTTTATGAATTTTAGAGAAGTGAAAAGAAACACACTGTAAAGGGGAATGTACGGGGAAAACTATGGTCTTCCCTACACAATGTTGAATGCGTTCTGATTTAGGAAAGCATCTGTATGAAAATGAGCCATCTCCAGTACTGAGGATACTTTGCTGTTACTTGGTTGGTTAGACTTTCAATCAATATTATTGCAGAGAAATTTGATCTGTCATAAAGTATAGTGAGGCTCTGAGAGAGCTCAATCTGCACATTCCTCTTCAGCCCATATTAAGTTTAGTAAAAGAAGACAATCCAAAGTAAGGAAGCTGATATGAGGCAATATACATATCTCAGAGTATTTCAGAAGTCGCAGGATGATTAATGAAGGCAAAAAGAACATATTTCTACTGCTACACATTTTTTTTTCATACTTTCTTCTATTTGCTTTTTCCTTGTGGAAAAACTAAAAAGTTCACCTCTTTAGGCCTCTAAAAGTATTTCAAATTATACAAGTGAAAAATCTGTCTTTGGTTGAAATGAATCATGACTTGTAGATAAATGCAATCAGGGTAGAAGGGTCACAAGTAGAGCTAGTTTTGTATTAAGGTGCCACAACATAAAAAAGTTGGCAACACTGTATTAAACTGATGTTGGCAAAGCTACAACTCGTTGATCATTATTTATGGTTGTATTAGATTTAGTTAATTTTTTGCACACATGTGACCAAGAACTTTGTGTTACATATTATATTTTTCTGAGTTGAGATGCAGGTGATGCCACTATTTTAAATCAAACTTTTAACAGGTTGTGTGGTGGTATCAGTTTCATAAAGAAAAGAAGTAATACCACTCTGAGAAAATACATACAAGGAAAAGTCCTGCATTTAAAAAAATGACTTAAGTAAAAGTACAATTACTTATACTTTTAAATATAAAGTTTCAAAAGAAAATGCATTAGTTTTGCAGAATGGCCTCTTTCAGAGTGTTGCATTCTATACATTATAGAGGATTATTGTAATATTGCTGATTCATTAGCATGAGGTGAAGCTAGTTTTAATTATATAGTTATCTATAACAAGTTGATATGTTTTCAAATCTCACTATGCAAAGGCTTTAGTAACTACAGCAATGTAATAAATATAGTGATGTAAAAATAAATATGAAATATAGTAGAGTAGAAGTACAATGTAGCATAAAATGGAAATACCTTGAAATTGTACTTATGTATTTGAGTAAATGTTCTGAGTTACTTCCCACCACTGACTTGTACCATTTGTTTCTGTGGTCATAGGCCCTCTTCAAGGCAGGAGAGCAGAAGTTCGGCACTGATGAAGAATCATTTATCACCATCCTGGGAAGCCGCAGTGCAGAACATCTCAGGAAAGGTTTGTCTGTGTGTCTGAGAATTGAGGATTGCAGCAACAATTTGAGAGCAGCTGTAATTATTTTGTAACTTCACACAATCACTACACTCATTCTGAATTGTGTGTTTAGTATTTGATGCTTACCTGAAGTTGTCTAAACATGAGATCGAGGAGAGCATCAAGAGGGAAACATCAGGAGGACTGGAAGATCTGCTTCTCGCTGTCGGTATGAAACTACAAAGCTCCATACTGCAGACTGGCGCTGTTGTCAGCTTTTTGAGAGAAGATTACTTTGAATGACTAATACTGACACATTTTCAATCTTTGCCTGTGTTTTTTCTTTTTCTTTTTAAAGTGAAGTGTGCTCGGAGCGTTCCAGGCTATTTTGCTGAGATCCTATACCATGCGATGAAGGTAAGACAACAAAATATGTTTAAAATTGGACAACTAAGTGTAGAAAATGTTATGTTTAACTACTGTTAAAAAAAAATAAAATACCAAATCTACATCACCTTGACTTTTTCAAAACTTAAAGGCTGTGAATTGTGCTTCATGAGAAATGGGGAAATGGTTGGACACTCACTTAACACAAGTTCCTAAAGTATGTTTAATGTATTCAAATTTCCACCAGACTGTCATTTATGTACATGAATCAAGCAGTTAGTGGTGTGAAATACTGCAGCATTTATGATCTGGAAAAACTGCAAATTGTCAGCCTGAAAACACATTTAAATGAAATTCCATTAAAAGTTAGGCCATTAGGTATATCAGTGATGTTTTTGGTGTGTGGGTTTTTTTGTTTTTGTTTTGGTGTTTAACTGGAGAGAAAATGCTTTAAAGGTTCAATAGAATGGAAAACTGTATTTCCCTTGGCATAGTTGAATAAAGAGTTCAGTGCATGTAACTGAGCCTCAATCTCCATTGTTTCCTCCATCATATGTCAATCTTGCGCACCCAAAATGCCACTGGAAAAACGGGCAATGCCATCAAGTGCTTGATGTTACATAACATCTGGTATGTTTACGCTCCCAAACTTACATAAACCAGCACACATTCCAGAGAAGCGGTCATATGAGTTCATAGAGCTGTAGGTTGTGAGGTGCAGTTTGTCTCACAGAAAGTGCTTTTACAGTTATGTAGGAAAGGTTTTCTGGTTTTCACTCTGATGTCCTCTGGCTGCTCTGCCTCAACTCTGATTTATGAAGTTTCCTGATGGACAGATAGCTTAACTTGTTGTTAACGCTACGGATTACTAACCACTAGCTGTTGCTAACAGTAGCTCCTTTTATCAGCTGGTTCTGAACCAGCAGTCCAAAGCGTCTGTTGTAATGTTAGAGGTGTGTAACCAACACACCCTTGAGAACCAACCAGAACCAGCATCCTATACAGAATTAACAATAGGATGGCTAGCTGCACGGCTAACTCAGTAGCTAACTTAGTAGCAGCTGCTGTTAGCAGTAGTTAGCCGCTAAAGTAACAAGTAACATATATTATGGCAGAAAATTGTTTCCTCTTACATTTAATCTTTTATGCATGTTCTTTTATTATTACCACTGTGACCCATCCACCAATGTGTCCCTGAGCAAGACACTTAACCCCTAGTTGCTCCAGAGGCGTGCGACCTCTGACATATTTAGCAATTGTAAGTCGCTTTGGATAAAAAAAAAGCGTCAGCTAAATGAATAAATGTAAAATTATTATAATAACTATTATTGTTATGTCATAGAGATATATTTTGTTTCTATCCTTAGCCTTTCCTTCTTCTATAGGCTACTCCTTATGTTAGTCTGTCCACATTTGCTAGGGTTTAGGTCATATTAGGTAATATAGGTTATATTGTTTTAGTGTTTTCCTTTCTTGCTGTTTCTCTCCTCTCTTTGAATGTTAATTCAATGCCGGGAGAGGCTCTCCTTTCCCCAAACCATAGAAACCTAGACTGTGTAAAGGATTATGCATCACTTTGCTCTGGGTCTGATGCCTGAAGCTGCCCTAGGCTGTTTTAGTACTTCTCTGTCATTCTCTTTTTATCAATAAATTCTTCAAAGACAACGGTTGGTTGTCACTCAATTATTTAGCTACTCCCTCACCAGCAATATACAAATTTCAACGACAACACATAAACTCCATAGACCACAAAAGTGGAGACAGAGCTGCCGGAGGACATCAGAAGGAAAACCAGACAATATTTTCTCTAACTCTAATCCAGTTTCAGTAAAACCAATGAATAGAATTGTGTTTTTGAACAGTAATCAGTAAGGGCTATTCTCATGTAGCAGGCCTTAATTTAGCGGAGATGTTTTATAGCCTATAAGGACTTTGATTTAGCGACTTTTGCCACTAAGCCCAGCCCTTCTTCTGTGCTTGGGGAAGTTGGCCAATCAAAAGCAAGTGGCTTTCAGGGAGGGGGGCCTTAAAGACACAGGAACGGTATTTTAAAAAAGGGTGAAAAGAGATGCTAGAGCAGTGGAAAGTATGAGAAATATAATGTGTTTTTTGAGCATTAAAGCATGTAAACGTTTTCTAGAAGAAATCCTAAATAAAAGTATGAACCTAAAAATGAGCATTCTATGGCACCTTTAAAAACCCAGTGCATGCTACCTGCTCAGCACCAAACAGCAGACACATACGGTTAGTAACTGGCTGATCAACATAGTGGTAGTGGAGCATTTAGAAGCCAAACAGGACAGAAACATGACTCCAAGTTAACAATAATGTTGCTTCATAACTGCTTGATGTGTAGATAAGCAACTGCTTGCTAACAGGAATGCCATGTGTCTTTGTTTTGTTCACAACAAAAAAATTGAGATTGCTGGTTTAAAGTATCTTAAAAATGGGTACATGTATCACTACAGTTGACCATTTTATGTTATCATAATTTCATACAAATCTGAATCCAGATGCACATGAAAGGTTTACACATTTGTGGAGCCTTAGCAGAAGCTTTTTCTCTCAAAATAATTTACACATTTATGTGGCATACAGTCATTATAAAATGTGTTTGTTGCAGGGTACAGGGACTGATGATGCCACCCTGATCAGAGTGATGGTGAGTCGCAGTGAGGTGGACATGTTGGACATCAGGGCTGAGTTCAAGAAGAAGTTTTCCTGCTCGCTGTATTCAATGATCAAGGTACACACACAACATGAATAAACAACAACATGCTTGCAACGTGTATGTGACAATAAAAGTACCTTTACATTTAAATAAAATGTACTATACACACATTCTTAAAGAAGTTGTCATTACACATTAAGTTTTTTTTGACCCCTTTGTTAAATTCTTTGTGTTCTTGTTACAGAGTGAAACCGGCGGTGACTACCAAAATGCCTTACTGTTGCTCTGTGGTGGAGATGATGCATAAACAGGTCAACAAGCAATACAAGAGAAAGCTTACCTGAAGTGCCTCTTCTCTAAGTTGGTCTGTTGTGCCTTCAATTTGCTAACACAAAGTAATAATTCATCACAACAAAACTTTCTTGTGGGCATGGGAGAGGGAGCGAGATGGCCCATCAGGTCTTTTTAAACTAGAATACCAAATGTCTTTGAAAGGTAGCTAACACTAATACCAAAATTGTTTTGTTTGGACTTTGTATGGCAGAAACAATAAATGCAATAATAAACATTTTAGCTACAATGGCAATTTGTTCGTGTCTTTGGCATGTCTCAGTAAAGCTTATATGCTACAGTACACATGTACAATATCAGTATCTGTTGAACATGTAGGCTACTGTCGTCTGATAGCCAATAGAGGGAGATAGAGCAGCTTTGTTGGAGATGGTCTTGACTGTTAAAGCACCTCAACATCATGGCATCATTACTTTTAGGCAGAGGTGGGAAGTGCTTGAGTAACAGAACCAAAGAACATTTAGTTAGTACTGTACTTAAGTCCAGTGTTTTTGTACTTGTGCAGCTTTAAACATTAAATAAATTGTACTTCTTATTCCACTATTTCAGAATCAGAAAGCTTTGTCATTGAGCGTAGTTCAACAAGATTTGAGTGCAACTACCTTCAATGTACAGTCAGTGATCATAAGATAAAAAGACACACAGGTAATAATAAATAATTAACAGAAATTCACAAACGGTTAAAAACTGGAATCAGCAGGAGTAAATGATATTGCAGAGTCCACATACTGTATCAAAACAAATATTTCACAGTTAAAATAATAATAAACTCTTAAATATTGCACAAGTTCCAGTGGCCATTGTAGCACTCAGCCATGGTACTGAGTAGTACTGTTCATTGTTTTTGACAGTTCAGTTATTTTATGGCTTGTGGAAAGAAACTGTTCAGGAATCTGGAGTCTTAATGGACCTGTAACATCTCCCAGAGGGCAGCAGGGTGAACAGGTGGCTGCCTGGATGATGTTTGTGGCCCGGCAGAGATATCGGAATCTGTATATGTCGGTGAGAGAGGGCAGTTGTGTTTTGGTGATGTTCTGAGCTGATCTAATAACTCTGTTGTGCCTTTTTGTCAGCCTCAGTGCAGCTTGTGAACCACACCAGAATGTTGTGAGAGGATGCTTTCAACAGAACCCCTGTAAAAGGAAATCAGCAGCTTCTGACACAGGTTCACCTCCCTGAGTGCCCTTAAAAAATAGAGCCGCTGCTGAGCCTTTTCACAAGCGTGGTAGTGGTAATAGTCCATTAACCGTCCTCAGAGATTTGTGTGCCCAGGAATTTAAAGTTGCTGACGCGGTCTACCATCTCTCCTTTGATGTATAGAGGAGCATATTCTCCTTCCTTCCTCCTAAAGTCAATTATCAGTTCTTTTGCTTTGGAGGGGTTGAGTACCAGGTTGTTAATGTGGCACCACGCAGTCAGTTTTTGCACTTCATCCCTGTAGGCAGACTTGTCGTTATTTTGTATGAGGCCCACCACAGTTGTGTCATCCGCAAATTTAATGAAAGTGTTATTGCTGTGGGTTGGTGTGCAGTCACTGGTGTATAGAGTGTAAAGCAGAGGACTCAGCACCCATCCCTGGGGCCTCCAGTGCTGAGTGTCAGGATTGGGGAGTGAAATGACCCCATCCTGAGTTGGTTAGGAAGCCCATGATCCAACTGCATGTGTGCTGACTGATGCCTAGATTGTGAAGTTTGGACACCAGCTGGGGATGATGGTATTAAACGCAGAGCTAAAATCAATAAACAGCATTCTCTCATATGAGCTGCGATGTTCCAGGTGAGCTAGTGCTGTGTGAAGAACAGTGTTGATGGCATCTTCAGTTGACCTATTTGCTCTGTAAGCATATTGGTGTTGGTCCAGAGTGGGAGGGAGAGAGAATTTAATGTGCTTTAAGACAAGCTTCTCTAAGCACTTCTACATCACTTCTACTAACTCAGTAGAAGTAAGAGCCACAGGTCTGTAGTCATTTAGGCTCCTGATAGGGATTTTCTTGGGTACTGGGACAATGGTGGCAGATTTAAAGCATTTAGGAACAGTGCATGTAGACAGAGATAGGTTAAAGATGTTTGTGTATACCTCTGCCAGCTGGTCTGCACAGTCCCTAAGAACCATCCCCGTTATGCCGTCGGGGCCAGCCGCCTTCCTGGGGTTCACACCAAGGAGCACTCTTCTGACATTCTCTGTGGTCACAGTAAGTGGCAGGTCATTAATAGCTGTCAGTAGAGCAGGTCCTTTCTGCATCTCATTCATCTCAAAATGGGCAAAGAAGTGGTTGAGCTTTTCAGCAAGCAGGTCGCTACTGGTGTTGGTTAATGGATCCTTGCTGCCCTTGTAGTTGGTGAGATGCTGGATACCTTGCCAGACACGCCAGGGATCCCTTGTGCTGAGGTGTCCCTCAATCTTCCTCCCATAAGCTGATTTTGCGTCTTTTATGCCTCTCTTTAGGTTGGATCTTGCCACGCTGTACATTTCCTTATTTCCAGACCTAAAGGCTATATCCTGGTTCCTCATCAGCGGCTTGACATCCTGGTCATCCATGGTTTATTGTTCTGATAACTTAAGGACAGGACAAAATAAGTTCACAGCTACAGTAGTTGCTGACTTTGACTTTTTAAAATGTGAAGCATTATTACAGATTGAACTTAGCAATCATATAAAGTACATGGTTAAAATCAGATTCACTTTGATCAGCTAAAACATTTTTTTAAAGATATTTTATTTTAGCCTTTATTTGGATTATACAGAGAAGCAGAAGACGAGGGAGTGAGATAGGGGACGATCTGCAGCGTCCACAGGCTGTAACCAAACCCAGGCAGCTGCAATAAGGACTCTGCCTTGAACACAGGGCCATTGCTCTTTCAACTGAGCTAATTGCACCCCATCCACAATGTTACTATGCTGCTTACATTAATGTAATATTAGTAATAAAAAATATTTAATGCATGTTAGTTTTCACCTCTCTGTAAGGTAGCATTCCCCATAATAAGTGACTCTTTAAAAATAAATCACTCACAATATGTTTCACTGGTTTCAACAGTGCCTCTAGAGTAGGTCACTAGTAGTTGGACCGCGGTCCGGATCCGGACCCAGCCGCCGTCCTCTCCGGACCGCCGACCTACAGCCCATTTATTATTGAGACTTACTACCTCGTGACGGAGCGTTTCTATTTTAACCCGCGCAGCTTTTCTAGCATTTACTGTACTGGTTTAGAGGACCAGGAAACTCACAGACCAATCACATGTGCTCCAATCGTCTCATGTGACGCTGCTCAGCCAATCAAATCTGTGCATACCGATGCTTGCGAGTCGAGTCCGCGAGATTCACCAGAGACGTTTTGGAAACCCACCCGAATTGAGGAGACGAAAGATAAAAGAGATTTCACATGACTTTTAATCAAGAATGTACTGATTTTTACATGTACATTCCTCCCACGGGCAGTTCAAAACCAGAATATCTCAGATCTCCAATATGCTAGCTGGAGCTCACGTTTCTCACTGAACAACAGAAAGTAGGAAAGTGGTAGCTCTGTAAGAGGAAATGAAAGAGAAGAGGAGGCATTACAGCTGTTCATTTGTTATGATGTGTTGAGTGTTTATTATAAAATTGGTTAAGACTACACTTCATCACTTCAAGCTACACTTTTTATTAAATTTTTTCTAAAAATTAGGCACTTTAATTTAGTTTACTTAAATTTAGAATTTATTATTTGAATAGTTATTATTTATTATCCTTCCAGTTTGATGTGAAAACTGACTGAAATATTATTTGATTTGACAGTCCGTTGTTGACTAAAAACATGTGTTGATACAACTATAGGTTACAGTACTGAATGATAACGCAAGTTCGTCGTTTTGATGTTCCGGACCTTTTCGAAATCTAATTGAATACCCCTGCTCTAGAGCATCAAGGGGTTCATTGTCTTGCTCGGGGACACAGTGGGAATTGAACCCAGGTCAACCACACCACAGGCAAGCATCTTATCTATACGCCATCACCACCCACACAACCCACATAACCCACAGACACATTTTACATTGCAAAAAATCATTAAGAGGCCTACTGAGTCGGACTGTCACTTTACAATCACAGGTCCATGAGTTGCCTAAACTATGTCTAATCTGTTCGATTAATATTTTCATCTTCCATTATTGCCATCGGCATTTAGTCCCGTTAGGTTACAGCTGAATAAACAGGCCTGTAGCTATTGAAAATGAATAACAGGCTATAGGAAAATTCCAGCACTTTATCATTCATTAAAGAAATTCCATCTCTATCTATGTTTTTTTTACTCACAAACTATAAATATTCTCACCTTGCTTTTCCATTCAGTCTTCCAATGACTGGAAGGCTGCATCTGGGTAATGTCTAGTCAGACTAAATGTGACATGAGGTTGACCAAGCAACAGAAAAATCAGAAATTGTTGTGCTCAAATCTTAAAGTGACCTGCCCCATCGACATCCTGGATCAAGCACTGGACGGACAGACTATGTTCCGAGCTGACAGAGCCAAAGAATCCAGCAAGATAAGAGGAAGAGGACTCTGTGTTTACATCGATGCTTAGTGCTTAAATACTGTTTCCCAAATGTTAGACTTTTATTTGGTGATAAAAAACATTTTATCATTTACTGCTGTTTACATCACCCAGACACAAAGTAAAAAATTCACTGCCCGAATAATTTCCTGTGTGAATATGTGTATGCATACAGTATATAAATAACATATAGCCTAACTACTTTTTAGTTTTTATTTGTTTAATATGTTACCCTATTGTAATATACAGTGAATCATTTGTTAAGATTTTTAAGGTTGACTCTGCAAAATTAAAAGGTCTTGCAAGGTAAAGTGCAAAGAGTAGGCTAAATGTATAGCCAGCAAAAACACAATGAATTTGTGAAATACATTGTTTAACTACAATTTAATTGTTTCCACAGTTGGTAGTGAAAATGATGAAGAGAGAGATCTATGATGTCCTTCATTTTTGTTGTAACTTTTGGACCTCCCCTAATTTAACTGTTGTTCTACCCTCTGCCTCCCACTTAAAAATAATCTAGACCCGCCCCTGAGTCAGCTGTCCGTCCTTCTTCTCTTGTTTTATAACAGGTGTCACACCTGTCCTCTCCGTCTGCCTTCCGAGCTTCATCTGACAGAGGCGTCTCACATCACCGAATCTCTTTCAGTTTATCGTTGAAACATTCAGGGGGAAAAAAATCAGCAGCATCAGCCAGGTG